GGGTCTTTCCAAGGATGAATATAAAAGGGCATGTCACCACTCACTCCTCCCCCGGACATCGAGGCATAATTCATGCGAGACTGCGACGTGCATGGGATGAGAGAGATGCATTAGAAAGGCGCAGGCAGCAACGTGCCCTCCGGCCACCACCTTTCCCCTTCCCTTTCCGCTGTTTCGACACGTACATCTTCCGGCTTTCCTTCCTTTCGCATCTTTTCTTCAATGGTCGCCAGCACCGCTTGTCGGGCTTGTTCTGTCGAAGCCATCTCCTCTGCCCCCGGACCTTTCTCATCCCTCATGCTTCCTCGACTTGCTGGCAGGGTTCGACGGGAAAGCAGCGCGGTGCCATTACCGTCCCCGGACCTCATCCTATAGACGTCCACGTTTCCTCACCTGTCTGTGTCATGGAAGGGGTTGCGTCATTTAGGGGGAAACCCTTTTGCCATTTCCTTTTTTTGGGAAAAGGAGGAAATATTGCTCGGACAGGCCACCTAAGGCTGGCGTCGGCTAGGTCAACGACCACAAAATCGTCAACCCTCAACATTCCATGCCAGGGCACACCTGGACACGGAATGAGAACAAGCCATTCTCTTTCCTGTTCGCAGCCACCTGGGAGCATGCGTTTCGATGGCGCGCTCAAAAGCAACAATAGAGCAAGAAAAGCAGCATCAGCGAGGATCATTCTATCAGGGGAAAAGAGAGCGATGCCTTACAGGGGTGGCGGCGTTCGACCTGTCCTAACAGTGGTATTGAGGCAAAAATAATGCCTTCAAGACACCAGAGACGTGGAAACATGCCAGACAAATTCAAATGGAAAGATGTGGGCACGAATCTCGTCGAATTGACGGCCGTGGTCTTGGCCAAGGAAACCCGCCAGGGGCTCCTCACGAGTCGCGGAGGCCTTACTCCCACCACGAGCGAGCTTTTCAATCATTTACATGCTCTTACGGACGATTTTTGGGGCCATCCTGGGTCATCAAGTCTTTTCCATGTTCTCATAATTGTACGGGGGGGGCATTTTCACACCTTCCAGACTGGTTGCGGATTTTTTTCCCCCAACTCCATCCTCCACCACACATCACGAGGATCGAAGTAGCAGTACGAGCTGCGTCTCGATCTGTCCAGCAATTAAGTATTTGTAGCCCTGCACAAACCCGCTGAAAAATCATGGATGGCACCGCCGGTCGGGTTGCCATCCTAATTCCTCTTGTGGGCGGTATGTACGATGTCATTCATGGGTGTTACGGGTTTTTAGCAAGGTATTCGTGCTTGACAATCCTACGTCTTACGCCGGGGCCTCCGCAACCCTCCTCTCCCTCCACAGTCGCAATATGCGCGGGTATGGCAGCAGTTGGGTTCAAAGGACGGATCAACGTCGTTGGTACGTGCTAATCCACTGCATCTTCCTGCTTCTTCCCGTCGCACCTGTCCATCATGATCTGCTTTCCTTTCATACACCCCTCCTGCCCACGCGTGGCATCGACCCTCCCAATCCTCATCCTCCACCCTGTTGGACTCCCCCGCCATTTCCTTCCCTTTCTCAGGCGTCGATCTAGGCACGACCTTCTCCGTGGCCGCCGTCAACGAGCATGGGAGTGTGCGCGTGATCAAAGACAAGTGGGGAAACCCCCTGGTCCCCTCCATCGTCTCCTTGGCCCCTGACGGGGGGGTGTGGGTGGGAAAGGAGGCCCGCGAACGCCTGGCCTTGCACCCGTCCCGCACTGTCTACGACGCCAAACGTTTCATCGGCCGAGAGTACGTGGGAGGTTTGTATGCCGTTGGGGGGGGGAAGGCCGCGGGGCAATATGGGGAGGTTGGGGGGAGGAAGCTCTGGGCCTGTGGACGGACCGCACGATATTCTTTCCATGCCACTTTTCCCTCCTTCCTTCGTCCCCGTCCCATTCCAATGCATCCATCCTTCGGGCGCTCCCCCCCCTCAGTTTCGGAGACTCAACCGTGAGGGAGGAGGCCGGGCGCCATCCTTTCGCCGTGGTCGAGCACACGAGTCCTTTCTCAGGCGTCGGCTTCCAAGTGGGCCCTGACCAGGTAGAGAGGGAGGGAGGGAGAGGGGGAGGGAGGGA